GGAGTTCTTGGTCCCCAGACTGATAACTGGAATACCAGCATGGGACTGATCCAGCCCCCATGAACATGGGTTTCAGTGAGGAAACCTCGGAAATCTACGAGACCTCTTGTAGTAGTTCAGTACTTATCCCTAGCATAGGTGTGGACTTTGGGAGCACAATCCACATAGAGGGATATTCCCTGAGCCTAGGCCCTATCCCAAAGGACATGATAGACTCTGATGACACCCTATGGAAGGCCTCACCATCCAGGGGGAGCAGAAAGGATATATGATAGGTAGGGGTTTAGTTGGGGGGAGGTTGTAGGGAAGGAGGGGCAGGAGAGGGAACTGGGATTGACATGTATAACAATCTTGTTTCTACTTCAAATAGAAAAAAAGAAGACTATTCCTCTAGGAAAAGGAATGCTATATACATTTCATAGTTTACATTTGATCTTTTCTATTACTTATTAACAATGCAAATTGGGAACATATTAGGAATTTCTATCACTTTGGAGAAAAATTCTTTATAGACTATTTTTTTTTGTCATTTCTGTACTTCATCAGATTCTCGTAAGGTGGGCAAATGTTCAGAGCTAGAGACAAGCTTTCCCGACAGTAGCTCTGTTCACCTAAAGAGGAAAAGAGCAAACCAATGTCCTTCACTGTGAAGTTCTCACCAAGTCTCCTCACTCCAAAGCCAACAGCTGCTGCGTGTGCTTTCAGCACAGTATGTTCTGCTCTTCTCCCCACTGTTAAGTTAATAGGAGACCATAGGCTTGGAGCTGGCTCTAAGCTTCCAGTTCAACCTAATTGAGTACATATACTTTTTGTAACAACCAGCTGAATTTCCACCAGTCACAAAGACTCATGTTTTAATCGCAAAATGATCAAACAAGGCAAATGCCTAACTATAGTAAGTCCCCTGATTTCTATGTTATTTTCCATGCTTAGCATAAAAAAACCTAGCTGCTCATATGACTCCCTTCTGACCCTGGGTGTTACAAAATTCATGGGTAGCTCTTTGTTTGCTCAAATAAATTCAGTTAAGTTTATTCTGTTCCCTATCCAGAAAGACTTCCATTCATCTTTCCCTATTGAAACTACTGAAACGCTCATACTATCAACTCTGGGTTCTTCATTTTTCCAATTGTAAATTAGCCATATTCTATGCTCCCCAAGCTTTTTAAAAAATGTCTAACATTTACTATACTTAGACTAAATATGGTAATCTTCCATCTTTGGTCAATAAATCAGGAGTTCTCTGGTGTAGGAAGAAATTAATCAGTTCTTCCCCATGCACATACTAGGAACTTAACGAATTAGTTAAGTGAAATGAGAGACACAGCCACCCCGAAAAATAGAAGTAAACTGCTTTGTAGTGGAATCTTCAAAATAAATTTTCTCTAAAATTTAAGAATCAGTAATTCACACAGAAAGTATAATTTCCTGGAACTTTTCACGCATTAAATATTTTCAAATCTAAATATTATAGGTATTAAAATTGGGACATTTTAAAGCTTCTTCCTATTTAGCAATTCTAAGTGTCTTTAAATTTTTAAACATTCACTTGACAACATAGACTAGTAATGCTTTATAGTGCATTTAGTGATAATGGAGACATGAGCCTCCAACAGCCTTGCAGTAGGGGGTAGTTCTCAAAAGGTTTTGGAACGCTGAGTCTAACGGCCTTGGAAATAGGTCTTAGAAACAAGAGCTTGGTGGCTCATTCCAGAATGGTGCTGATTGAGCTGCAATGAGCAGCAGAATGGAGAAGAAAGTAGTGCCCTAAAGCTATGAGAGCCAGGGCAGGACAGCTTAAGTTTGCTGGAGCCAGAAACTCCTGCTGATTTCTTCCTAAGCCTGCCATCTATTGACCAAATTATGAATCAAAGCACTGTGAGTGGCAAAGAACTTCCAAGGGTACAGGAAGACAATCAATTCTTAAGAGTGTTAATTAAAGCATGTGTTGTGTCATTAAAATTTGTTTGGTCTATTGCATGCACATACTGAATATTCTTTGATTTTTAACTGATCCTGGAATGTCTCTTCAGAAATAAATCAATGACACCAAAGGGTTCCATTTTACTAATATGTACATAAATATTCAAAGTTAGCAAAATGGGGGTGATCCTGCATAGAGATTTGAAAAATGAAACTTGAATGGAGAGGCAGCATTCTATGCAGTGAGTACGTGA